GCCTAAATTAAATATTGAATATGGGCTTAGCCCCTCCAAACAATCAAAATCCCCTCATAATAATTGTGCCTACAGATACCCATGTTATAAAATTATATCAACCAGTTTTATAGGTAGACAGTTGAAATTATAAAAAGTTAATTCTGTTGACTGGTTAACATTTTAGAAATGTTACATTTTATGTATAGAATAAAGTTATAGTTGTTGGCATAATAGCCTGATGTTTACAATATCAATAGAAGCTACAGGTACCTATATAGTAATAAATATCAATGTTAAAAATAATAAATCAATTTTTATTTAATTGTATTGTATTCTAGAATATCGAACCTTTAGGATAAATAAATGTAGATTTATCTTAAGAAAACACAATCTGTTTAAATAACGATGACGTGTTTAGGGAAAAATAAATAATTGTTCATCATCAATTTATTTATATATTTACATAGTTGGTTTGAACTGCATGGAATATGAACTCAATAAATCATTATACATATATATTTAGTATCCTGTTGATGTTTATTATAAACAATTCAATTAGTAAGTTTATTCTAGCGATATCTATCATACAGATGTAAATATTTGTGTTCATGTGATATAATAATATAATATAAAGGTGGGACAAATCGTACAATGGTAGTTGGTACCATGTGTWAAACAATTAAAGCCATTAATATATATTTATGTTACGTTTTTTGCTTCTGATGTTTGTAATACATTATACAAAACAATTGCAGTTATTTTATTTTACAATAATTTTTATTTAAAAAAAMAAATAATTTGTTTGATTAGGTACTTCTACGACTTACTATATTTTAATAATCGTATCAACAATATTAATTTCTATACATATTTATGTCTTACATAAACAATTATATTTAAACTTCATTTGATRTATTCTTATGATTCAAAAAAATTGTATTATATATGCAATACACRTTTTCTAATAATATAAATCTATACCTATGGAATCTCAAGTCTACGACCTAACTTATCTACCTACAATTTGGTTGACTAAAGAAACTTTCTATTTAATTATTACTTACTAAACATTATTAAATCATATTCATTTATAGGAATAAAACAAATGTTTTAAAATTAGAACAAAAAAAAAGCAAACGTTAGCTTGTGAGCGAACAGAAATATATAATATAATTATTATTGAATTGGAACTCCATTAAAGTCATCTGCGTCAAATTCGAAATTTTTTAATTAAGTATTCRATTGGTAAGAATTACCAGAAGGTAGGTAATCTGGAAATATTCTATGTTTGAAATGATTGCTTAAGGAGGGGGTGGGATGCTAATTGGACAACGCTAGTTCGCAAAATTCTTTGTTATGTCCTGGAGACAGTCATGTCAGAAATTCGTTGGTGTAGGCATTTGCTTTAAGTTGTATTCCTAATTTTTTACCGACAAACTTAAAATCGAACTGAATAAGCCACATAAGTAGCAATTAGGTTGCTCGTTGTTTGTTGTGTTAAGTTTAAATTATTACGTGTACYTATACCTATTTCATTATTATTATGTTATCGTTTTTAAAAATTTAAATTTACCTAATATATGTATAGGTATGCGTGCCAGGTTACCTACTCATAGATTATACCGTAAACATATCCATAATAATACTCATATTTAGCCGTTGCCCGTTGGCCTCGATATTAAGACGTGTATGATTTACTAAACGTGCTGATGGTTTCAGATTCAGACCTACTGGCCGAGAAATTCGAGTGTAAGCTCTGCGGCAAGGTGTACCAGTGGAAGCAGAGCTTGAAGAGACACATCCGGGAGGACCGCTGYGACAAAGGTCCGCAACACGCGTGTCCTCGCTGTGGCATGAGCTTCAAGCACACGAGCCGCCTGAACAAGCAYGTCATCTTGTGTCCTCACATCCTTTTCGACGACAATCCTTCGTCCTCGGCGTCCACGTCGTCCACGTCCAACGTGCAGCGCATACTCAAACTGCCGCCGCCGTGCCCGGACGCGTTGCCCATCACCGCAGTGTCCACCTCTACCACAGCAACGTCGTCGCCCTCTCAGACGATACTGGTGTTACACCTGAAAAACCAAAGTTTGGCCCAAAACTGGAATTCTAAAGTCCAGAAATTGGGAAAATAGAATAAAACCGTATTTCGTATTTTAAGTATTCATTCATGTGTGATCGCGTGTGTGTGTGTGGTGTGGCCCGTCAAAATTTGACGAGTACCTATATTTAATTCAAAAAGATTTTTTTAATTTGTTGAGCTTCCACGTATATTATCATTATAATTATATTATTGAACACACTGATTATAATAACATCGCAGATCTTATATTTACATATAAAGTCTCGTATATTATTATTATTTATTGTTATGATATAACACYGAGTATATAACTAGGTACYTATATGATATTTACGTGGGCGAACTCACTTAGATATATAATAACAACAAAAAAACTATATCGTACACAGCGTAATATTATTACATAATACAATTATTATAATATTATGTATTATTTTTGCTAGTCAAATGTTGAACAACGCAATCTAGTCTATTTTATTTTACATTTTTTTTTCGTATTTCGTGCAATTTATTCGTGCAAAGAGAATCATGTTTTTTTTTATTATTCGTAGTGTGTGTGTTTAATTAATATTGATTTTGTTTTTAATTTTACTTTTAGTTTTTATTGTACCTATTGGTACTCGGGTTATTGTATCACGGAATGTTTATAGACATCGAATACATTATAGTCATTAGATAGTAAGATATTAATGAAAGACTAAAGTTCTCTCCTATCAACAAAATAATATACGCTGAAGAGATATCTTTCTATTTATATCAATATATTTTTATTTATACGTTTGTCTGATTTGAAATGTATCTAGTCAAAAATAATTATTTTCTTTAATTTTGCATTAATTATATACGTGTACATAATATTATATTATATCATTCAATTTCTCAAAAAAATACAAAAACAAAACATTTGCCAAACGTATATATATACCTATTTTATTGATAGTGGAAACTTGAAACCATAACAATAGGTATATAGTCAACAGTTGAACAATATTGTATTAGACCTAATATGATATTATAAAGTGACGTAAGATAGCACTTAATTATTACAATATTGTTGATGGGTTCGTATAGCACTATATTGAACTTAGATGGTTCGATTAAATACGTTCCATTGACCATTTGTATTATATACTACCAAACATACCAAATTAATTTAGATCAATATTTACATTGGATCTAATAGGAATAAATTATACCAAAGTCAGACACGAATTTACTTTTTAATTTAATTGTCACATAAATGTAAATTGTATTTTGATTTTTGTTTTTTCAATTATAATTTCAAAACGCGCACAAAACACATATTATATAATGTGGAAAAATTATGATTATTTTAGGGTTAATGATTTTAAGATCAATCTACAATATTTTGTGTCCCGTGTGTGAATACGATCTATAGGTACTTAATTTAACAGAGAATTTTACAAGTTTTTATGATACAATAATTTTCTTTAACAATTCAACAATTATAGGTAATATGAGTAGTGCAAATAAATTTGTTCGTATAACATAGTATGCAATTTTACCTCGTGTTCATAAATAKATATGCGTGCGGATCGAGGGGGGAAGTGAGGGTATCTATTTGTAGGCCTATAGGCAGTAACGTTATATACAGTAACGTTAAATCGCCAAAAAAACTCTGATAAAATGCTCTGTTYGCCAGTCATAATTTTCATAATAATATTATATACTCAACGCAATATTCATTAGATTACTATTTGTAAATTCAAAAATCAAAACTGTGACAAATGTGTAGGTAGGTCGATATACTGTAATTATATTCTGTAGTGGTTTTCGGGTCGATCGTCTGAAGTGGGTAGCCTATTCGCGCCACCTAATAAGCTTATTTGGAGTTACTATTGGTACGCCACCCCCGRGTGGGTTTTGTAACGAATGTTGAAAACGCGATGACGCGATCGAACGTATTTTCAAACTATYCTGCATTTTGTTGCTATTATTTTTCTTCATTTTCTGACGAATAAATCGAAGTACCCTCATCCCGATATTTCTATAACATATTATTTTCATTATTGAAAACGACTACAATATAATATAATATAATGAAATTCATACTCAATAGTTTGTATGCGATATGATGCGTATATAATATATATGTGACACTGACACACGACTTTTGTAATAATATGAAAATTTTTTATGTAAAAGATTTCTTTTGTTTTTATAACTAACTCATTATTGTGGATAAAGTATAGTAATTTTTTTGTATTTTTTTTTTTTTGTTTTTTTATTATTATTTAGTGCAATGAATTTGAGTTCCTTGATTAGTCATGACCTCTATAGTCTATTTAGCTATTACAAAAATAAAAACTACTTACCTATATAATTATGTAAGTGTTATAATGCCTCACTTAACGTGGCGGTCTATGAATCTAGTCAGGTACGAGCACAAAATTAATATTATTACTCGTGTATTATTACAATGTATATGATGTGTATTTATAAAAATTATATATGAATGATTAACAAGTTTTCTTATTTTGTTTTCTAGTCCATTTTGCCGCTTGATAATAATAATATGATATCAATTAAATTAAAATTGTATTATTATAATAAACAATATCTATTTTTTCGTGTACCGTTCATGTTCTGTTGGGCGTGCCAATATTATAATTTATTATTATATTATATCTATATTATATGTAATATGTACATATTATATAATAATCAAATTAATTTTATACAATCGTAATAACGTGCATAATATAATATACATATATATTTATTTGTGTATTATAATTTATAAAAATAAAAAAAAAACCAACTACATATTATTTAGTTTACAGGTGTAAAATATGTAATTATATTCTGATCGATAAATACCAAATATATTATAAGTTCGCATGTTCCACTTAATTTAATTTTGCATCGGTATAGTTATTGCATATATAGGACAAAAGTATTGATTTTTAAACTCAGGTACCTTAAATTAAAAATGTAACAGTCAATAATATTATATGTTTTGAAATGAGGCATCTGACGGGTTAGGTCTGTTCCGCGCGCCTAGCAGTATTTTCATTTTGGTGACAATAATAAGTATAAGTACTTATTATACATACAGATCAAAGGAATCGCTGGATCTTCTTTAACAGGAGAAAAAAATATATTTTCATAACTAAAATATTATTATGTATCAATACATTTGAACAGAAGTTTATATTTTGGCCGACCTAACCACTATAACTTTACTCTCTTATTATATATTGCCTAGTCAATTAATACGTATTTACTAAATTCCACACTTGTCGATTCACAATATTAATGTGTGGGAGTTTCGAGGTATATAACGCTGTCGTTTGTACATTGTTAGTTATTAATTATGATGTGGATATGTATGTATAGCAACAACCGGGCCAAGCGAGTTGATGTGAAGACAAATCCGGCGTATATATATGATGAAAAATTATCGATTATTGATTATAAATGTACAACTCTTCGACGGGATATGCACTAACAGATGTCACGAAAACATGCGCCACAGGGAAGCAACGAAAAACGCTGTTACCTATAGCCAACTCGTCCATCGCAGCCCGGGCTTRTTACGTCTCTTTTATTTATATTATACTACAATACTAACGCTTCTCTTCGGTTGTATTTGACTATAATGAAATATTATAATGTTATTAGGATTTCGGTGGACTCGACACACATGACCAAACGATGTTTACCTAACGCTAATCGCCACCGTGTTTTGTTTCAGGACGTTTACAACATATTTGGATTTCCAAATGTCCGTACTGCCGGATGGTWATCTGTACTGAATTAGAAAACCATTTGGGTTCGTGCAGCGTGTTCGGCACGCTTAAGACTCTCGTGACAGCCAAGAGKACACGACCTTAAATCACGTCCGGCAACGCAGTCTTCTATATATGTACAGTTAAACATCCCATTATGGACACCTCCGAATAGCTGACTTTTTTGTGTCAACAAACTACAAACTGAATTCTCTGAAAAGCGGATGAAATTTCAATCACTATAAGAGTGTCGGTATTTAGAGGTTTCACTGTATATAATATATACTATTCTTAATATATATTGTTACTTCGTTACATACCTATTTATATATATACCTAAATACTTAATTGCAGCAGGGTTGAGGGTTGCACTGAAATGTGTCGCCTATATGTATATATTTTATAGGTACTTATACCATATTTTTGTTGTTTGTTTTGTCAGATATGCGAATACATCATTATTTAGATAGGTATTCAATATATTATAATATGTAACAAACTGATAATATATTTATTAGGTTTATAAGTTAAATATTATATATGTATACAATCCTATGCAGTATGTGGGGTCGCAGCTGCAGTACTTGAATAGTTACTGCAGCTTATATTGGTGCAGGTGGGTAAATTATTATTATTATTATTATTATTAAGTTGTTTTGTGTATTTTGTCGCTTTTTTAACGATACCGTTGTAGGTACACATTTTATTGTTCGGAGTTTTTTTTATTATTATATTGTTGTTTTTGAGATCATATAATGTTACATATTATTTTGCCTGATTCTCAGTTTCCATTTTCTCATTAGCTTAAGTCACCATCACTTTACCTACCTACCTTCCTCTTCTAGTCTTTTATCTTCCATTACTCACCATTTATCTCTTTCTCTCTCTCTTTCTCTCTCTCTGTATAGTGTGAACCGCATAAATATTATAATTAGGTATTTATTATCATAATTTAATCATATTATTATGATATCTTAATAATGGCCTGCGCCCTACAGCTGGTCTGGTAAGTATATTTTAATTTAATTTTGGTTTTTTTTTTTTACAGACGATAAGAATTGGTCGTGCAAAACGTGCAGTAAATGGTACAAGCACAGAGATTCTCTGCGCCGGCACATTAGAGACGAGTGCGGAAAGATGCCACGTCACCAGTGCAACATTTGCCAGGCGTACTTTTATCATAGGCACAACTTGAAGACCCATTCTATGAGCAAACATCACATTTTAATTTGAACGCGTTTATCTATATATTGTATACTATACTCGAAACGTTTATAATAATATGTTATTGATTTATACCTAGGTACTATATTTTAAATTCCTGCTTAATTTATCTCWCCCGATATAGTAATATCTRTATCCATCGGCTACGGAAATCCAATACATAATTTCAGGAAAGCTAACATTTTTAACGCCAATATGACCTGGTAACTTCKATCYCACGCCACTAAAAATGAATCTGTTTTTGTTGGGTTATGATTTCCGCCTATCACWTGTGTATGCAATGCCGGCGCGAGGGGTGTKCAAAGTCCGACCGCACAGGGCCTCTCAATTTTTATTGATGTTTATTACGATTGTAACAATTATGTTTTCGTTGTCACTTGTCCAAGAGGTGGGGAGGGAGRCCTAGTTTTTATAAATTTCATAAGGCCTCGCGAATCATAGTACCGGCACTGTGTGTATGTATGTAATTGCAATATTGTAATAATTATGTACTACTCGGAGTCTATTGGTATGTAATATTGTGTTCAAACCATGTAATATAATATATTATACCATTTACGTATTATATTTTAATATTAATTTTTAATTGAATATACCCATCTCGAGTTATCAGGTGTTACGAGACTGCTGTCTGCAGTGTCTTTTACTCCGTGTATATTAATATCGCATCTGCACTCTGCAGTGTACTACATTATATTATTATACTTGTCGAAAAACAAAAAAAAAAAAATATTAATGAATATTAATTACTTACTGACTTCTTCTAAGACTGTACAAACAATATTATATTATGGTAATCTCGATTACTCTTGCTACCTACCTAGATATTATTACGCATATATTTTATTGATAAATAGAAACTAGCCACTAGGTATAAAATACTATAGGTATGTCAAACATATTTATTATATTTTGTACCTATATACTCTCAATTGCGTTGCTTTTATTTACGTGACTTTAGTGTGCAGCGCCGCTATCGTTATTATAATATTATTATGAATATAGTTGTTGCATGTGAGCTGCTGCGAACACACACACACACACACCAATTACACAATACCGGATCCAAACACAGCGGTCCTGGTGCTAATAATTTCGTTTGTTTTTCTGTTGTTGTAATTTGTCTTCCCGCCGTCCGTCTTCAGGTGACCCATATGTGAACCGCGGACGCACCCTGCATCCGTCCACGAGAGTCCAACACCACCTGCCCGCCATGCATCACCAGCGCTCGATGTACGCCTGCGCCCGGTGCGGCAACTCGTACGCGCGACTCCACAGCCTCAGCCGGCACGTCCGATTCGAGTGTGGCGTCGATCCGAAGTTCGAGTGTCCCGTATGCCACAAAAAGTCCAAACACAAGCACAACCTATTATTGCACATGAAGACCCACCTCAAGTGAAACAACTCGTTGAACCCTAGCTCCTACACCTTACACCACTCCATATATATATATTACGTAGGTAGGTACCTACCTCTTTTCAATGTCCATTATACGTACGTATATCGTCACCCGCGGGTAGTAAATACTAAATAACACGTCTATGATAGCAACGTTGTGCAAAGACTTAATAATATAATTATTGTCTCTAGTCATTATATTATGTGTGTACTTGGARCCTAATGTAAGGACTTTAATATACCTATATGGCTATATCATATTACGATAGCTCATTGTGTTAATTATAATATCGACTTTTATAGGTGCCTCCTAATAATGTTAAAAAACATTTGTAACTTTTTGCCTRTGTAAAACTGACCAGATTTTTTTTACAAGAAATCCACATTTGTGACTGTTTATTTTTAAGATGATTAAAAATAATTTTGCATATTATTTTTTTAATGGTTTATTTTTTTATATTTACATTCCTATAAACTAACAAATTTAGTTAAAATTGTGATATAATTTTAAACTTAATKTGTTAAATGTTTGTAATATTTTTTTATGTATTATTTATACATTATAGGCACTATTATTCAATTTCTAGAGTTAGAAATGATTAGTTCCTCTTCTTTTGGAAATATAAATTCTTATTTAAAAAAATAATTATTTCCTGTAAAATGTAATTGGTCCTGGAAATCAGTTATTTTCCAACTTTGTGCTGCTATTATCATATTATTGCTTTTAACCACACCATATACTGCAAGGTCTATTATTATATTAATATAGTAATGTTCACAACCATTATTGCAATCGTCTAGGCATAACAGACTACTTGGATGAACAATTATTCATGAACCTTAGGCTGGACGAAAAGCACACATGCCCAGACTGTTTGGATACGTTTGGTGATCGACTCTCACTTGTACGCCACAGAACAGAGGTGTGTGGTCTGGATCTCATGTATGAATGCATTAGATGCCATCGTCGGTTCAAATACAACCACAATCTAAAGGCTCACAGTGCTACGTGTTTGAAACAGAAAAAAAATACACCAGAAAAACCTACATGATACAAGAGATCTTTAATTTTACAATTGTATATTAAATAATCATATACATTTTTTTACAGGCAGAATAATTTCTTTTTTTTTCAAATTATTTAACATGTAAGGCCAAAAAAAAAAAAAAAAAACACTAATGTTACATAATCACATATTGCGACAAGATTAAAAACAAATTCCGATCATACTAGAGTATTGTAACTTATAAATCTGGTCGTACTTTAAATCCTGGACCATAGGGTTCTTCTTTCAATGATGTTAATCCATCAATTGGCTCTGATGCATACCGACTGGATCTGCATAAAATTAGAAAATAATATGATTAATTTGTATTCTCTTAAGGAGACAACAAGAATTACCTGGGCCCTGGTGTAGGRGTTTTTCCATTCTTTAGGTCATCAATTATAGATTCAACATCCTTTGTAGTCAAATCTTCCTACAAACATATAAATTACTAATTAAATATTGTATCATAAATATTAATTTAGGGATTAATAATTTAAACAAACATTTTCTGGAATTTTCTWTGAAATCAACTATATACTATTTTATTATTAATTAGTTATTGATTTGTGTATTTTTTAAAAACTTTTAGAATTGAAAAAATTTATCAATATTTTGGTAAAATGTCATACTAAATTATTATCCAGCTTAACTTACATAATAATCATCGTTGACTTGCATCATTGGAGCATTGACGCATGCACCCAAACATTCTACTTCAGACAATGTCCATTGACCATCCTTACTAGTTTCTCCTACACCAATATTTAATTTTTTCTTTAAACACGACATAACGTCATCTGAACCTCGCAACCAGCAAGGAGTTGTCGTGCATACCTGCAAGTGATACTTGCCAGTTGGCTTTCGCATAAACATTGTGTAAAATGTTGCAACTTCATACACTCTCATTTTAGGCAAGTCTAATATATCAGCCACTTTGTGCATAGCTGATATAGGTAACCAACCATGTTGTCTTTGAGCTAAATCCAACAGTGGTATCATAGCTGCTCGCTTATGACCTTCTGGATATATTGCTAGTATGGCATCAATTCTCTACAAAATCAAATCAAACAAGTTAGATTTCTGTAAAATGTGAGTATATTGAGTACACAGAACAAGAGTGAAAATAATTACTTTTTTGTTTTCATTGCTGAACTCAAATTTGATATCCAGATTATCCTCCTTTGTATCCCTATGCTGAAAATATATAAACATAAGTATTTAAATATATTGGACTACTAGTGAATRGTTGAGGTTTAAATTTGTATTTATCAGTCGAGGTMAATAAAACAATTTTTATGCTTATATGGATCTATTAAATAATTATTAAAATGCATAATGTGAATGTGATCGTTTACATCTGATCAACTGAATATGTAACAGCTATAAGCTATCCTGTAAGCTAAACAGCGATATAGACATCAATAAAAAAAAAAATGAAGATATCGATATTGACACATTCAAGAAGAATCTGTACAAGTCATAAAATGGAGAAATACATTCACATTACTTATTAAAACTTGAAAGGGTTTCATAGAAACTTATTTATAAACACAATCCTTATAATAGTTATAATTGGATATATATTTACGCAATATTCAACAGTAAGTATATTTTAAGAAGTTAAATATAAGCAATTTCAATTTAATAAAAAAATGTATAGTTGAATAACTTTTAGGTGTTTATAAATTTGTAATAACATGTGACTAATGATTCTACGATCATTGGATTTTAATATAATCTACGACCATGATTATGTTTAAAGAATATGCTTTTATACTTTCAATATTAAAGTATGGTCTCCACGATTATAGATATAAAATAAAATTAGTTATATAATATAGGTATGTTATGCAGATGTAATAACAATAAGAATAAATTCAAGAAGGCACTACATTTTAGAATATAATATCAAAACAATATTCATCAACAAACCAAATTGCATTAGTTAATTATACATTTATACATATTTCTAATGCATATTTAAATTTTGTATAAGCATGGACATCGCAAAAAGTGAAATGTGTGTGCCACAACTAAGATATTTAGGTAGGTATTTGAAATTAAAATTAATAGACTTTCTGTTTAAAACAGATTTTCCAGAACCCAAATGGCGTTAGTAATCGAAAACCGTAGTTGACAAACTCTTAAGTTATTTAATGGTTGGGCTACAACCTTAAGTTCTACTCACATTGAACATTGTATCATGTTTGAGRACCGCAGCCGTCTGGAAAGTTCTTGAATTTGACAACTACAAATATTAAACAAATTGTGCATAAACATTTACCTAAATGTAAGATGGCGCTAATAAAAGAAGAAACGTAGATAATACTTACGAAGCATTTAGCAATTTTATTCAGGGAYAACATTTTTRGTGAATTAACTACTTATACAGTTTTAATGACCGAATTTTTTTTTCTGAATGATAGAGATAGACTAGGTAAAGCCGTAAAGGACTAAAGGACTAAGATCACTAAGCACAAAAAAAATGTCTTATCACGTACAATTTGTTTCCTTTTAATGTCAGCTGTTTATTTTAGTTTGATAAAAGATAACAACTATCTCTCAAGAACAATGAAATAGGAGCTAAAATTATAATTAATAGTTATTAGTTAACTTGTTTTGACTTTTGACTTCTGAGTTAAGTTATAGTGTATTCGATAATTAATTTTTTTGTACAATGTAGACAGTTTAAAATAATTAAATATAACACAGTTTTTTATAAACGCGTAAAATTATGGATTCCAGTGGAAAATTAGAAAAGGTAGAAAAGAAACTTTCTTACTAAAAAATTAAAAACGAGATAAATTATATTAGATACATTATTAAATATGAATTTAATGAATAATGAAACAACTTTTGGTATCCTGTGWGCAAATCTAATATTGAATTGTCTTAGAAATTATTTAAAAAAAAWTTTTTWTAAATTATTAATAATTTTAAAACTTTTAAAATGTATTAAATATAATTTGTAGGTAGAAAACCTCAACTAAGACAATATAGTATCATGCTAGTATTCCATGTTTATATATATCATAAGTCAAAGAATCATAAATAATTAAATATATTATCAATTCGTCATTAGGAACGGCAGAATTTAGATGCATTTAAAGAACAAGTGCAACGTAATAATCAACTATCAGATAAAATGGTTGATATCCTTACGTCATTTGAAAACAGACTTGGTAGACTCCAACAAACTATACTACCGATTTATAATGAAATGGAGAATCTACAGTTAAAAAAAACAAGTATGCTTCTAAGTTTTGTAATTTTTTTCCTTAACAATATACCTTACAGTTATTAATTTTTAAAYATTTGTTTTTATTTTAGACATTGAAAAAACAATGTTTGAACTGGATAGAGTAATAATGTACCATGATGTGTGTCCAAGAGTTGAATCAATTATTTTAGGAAGACCAAATGGGCCGGATGGTTTGAATGAGTTCTTGGATGCCATGGAAAAACTACGTGAGGCACAAAATTATTTTGAAAAAAATAATCCTCAGAGTGTTGAACTAGAAAATGTGGTATGTTAAATTAGATTTAATTTTTATTAATTTTTAATATTGTATATTGTTTTATTTGGTGTACTTTAGTCGTCACTGTTCAAGACTGGAGGGGATAGTATCCAGAGAGAGTTTAAAGAAATCCTTTTAAAGCATAGTAGACATGTTCAACCAGCAATTTTAGTTGATATTTCTACGAATGATGATGGTTAGTTWATTTACTTCTAGTAAATTTGTTAAATTGAATTGTTTTTATTAATTTATGATTCGATAGAGTTGGTAACTGATGATTCATCTTCTCTAAGTTCTATCAGCCATTTCTCTGAAACTGTTTCCTCGGATCTAATTCGTTTAGCAGATTGGTTAATCAGTCAATCTCGTGATGAATACATGAATGTGTATGCCAGAGTACGAGCTAACACTCTCACCAAATCGATGACTACTCTTAAGGAATACCAGAAAACTGGAAGTGCTGGAAGCACTAATATGGCCATTGGGCAGACTTTGGGTTCACCTTCAGTAGTATGTTTCAAATTAACCATGTTAAAATATGATTATTTATTGATGAATGAATACATTTTTATATTTTAGAAGTCCAAATTTCCTCATAGATCTGAAGTTACTGTCACTAGAAAAACTTCTAAACGTATCCAACATGTGTAAGTTAATACATGTATTCAATTTATTTCAGCTTAATTTKTTTTATTGTTCTAGATTTGAGAAAAAAGCTAATCGTATGTTTTTGAAAGCATCTCAAACTTTAGGACAGTCAACTGGTTTGAATTTGGGAACCAGGAGACCTACACTTATAGGTAATTGATCATTATTATTTTATAATTTTGTATAATTTTTTAATATTTATATTAAACATAATCTGTCAGAAAACCGTGAAGATATTGTTGATGAACAAGAAATGGAAAATTATCTTATTTCTGTAATTGCTTTGCAAAAACTCATGCAAGCAGAGCTGTCATTAATGGTTGGTATAATACCAATTAAACATCATCATCAAGTRTTCCAAATCATTATTCAAGAAAGCCTCACTAATATTGTTCATGAGGGAGAGGTATTTTACTAATATTGATATTGTTTTTTATAATGTTTACTATTCAATATATTACAAAACAAAATCATACCATTCTGTTTCTATAAATATACAAAAATTTTGTTTTCATCTGAATATTGCAGGACARCCTTCTTCAGAATAATTAATAATGTACTTATACAAAATAATGCATTGATTGCAGAGCATAGCTGCTAGAGCAAAAAGATGTATTCATAGAAAAGAATTCGCCAATTTGTTTGTCATGTTTCCAATTTTAAAACATTTGGCTGCCATGAAGTCGGAATTTGARCGTACAATGGAAGGCTGTGATCCGGCCATTAGAGGTCAATATTCAGTTATACTCAATACTCTTCATTCCACGGTTAGTAACTCTCCTTCCTTGTTTCTCTCTTACTTTATGACAACTTATAAAATTTTTATTCCTAATTAGGGGGTTAGAACCCTAGAAGAAATAGTTGAAAGTGTGAGGACAGACAATTCTATGGGGTTGCCGCGAGATGGAACTGTTTATCAATTAACTAGCGATGTGCTTGTATTGATGGAACAACTGCTTGACTACATAGATAGTGTGGGTCCTCTTTTAGCTCAAGTGCCCTTATATAACAACATGGTATCACATCATATCACTCCACCTGAAAAATACAAGTATCTTTTAGGACTTTATATCAGTAAGTAAATACTAGTTAAACGTCCAAGAAACATTCAGTCCTTAAAACTATGACATTTTGACAGAGAAAGTGTTGTCTCAGTTGAATCTAATGCTTGTGAATCGTAGTGACTCATACAGTGAACCCGGTGTCAAATATTTGTTTCGTTTGAACAATTGTCACTATGTGGTCAAATCGTTACAAAGGTCAGCTCTATTGGATATAGTTTCTTTGACMGAACCCGAATGTGAAAATACCTACGATGAGATGATTGCATCACATAAAAAGTCTTATCAACAATGGTAATACAATTTATTAGTTGATGTTTATAATTTTATAATTTTATTCTTAATTTCAGTTGGAATAGAATACTAGGTTTCATAGTTAACTTAGATGATGTTCAAGTTATAAATGGCAAACTCAAGGATAAAGACCGTAATATAATCAAAGAGAGATTTTCTGTAAGTTCTTTAATCCTAACTTAAATGATATAATGCTAGATATCTTATTAATTTTAATATGCAAGCATTTTATTACTACCAAATAAAGACTAGTATGTACAACATAAGATTTTTTTCTTCATAGTAGTATGTGTAGATTGTGTATTGATAAAATGTTACACGAGTTACTTAAAATTACATTTTATAGCATTTTTGAGAAAATTGTGGTATTTTTAATCTTATAAAACAGTTGTTGTTAACATTAAATCTGTATTGCTTTGTTATGATTTGTTTAGGGTTTTAATAAAGAAATTGAAGAAATACTAAAGCTTCAAAGAGGTTATACAATACCTGATGTTGAATTACGAGAAGGGTTGAAACGTGATAACAAGGAATTTGTTTTACCAAAATACAGTGCATTTTATGACAAGTAATAAATTATCRTGCATACATCATTTGCAATTATATTTATTTTTTTAAATATTAATTGAAATAAAATTTATTGAAAAACTAATCTATATAAACATATGTTTATAGATTTTCGCAGTCATCGTTTACCAAAAACCCAGAAAAATATGTCAAGTACACTCCAGCTCAAGTGTCCGCTATGCTCGATCGATTCTTTGATGTTGCTGCATAAAACTGTTCAATCATCCTTTACTATTATTATTGTTATTTATTTATTTAGACATATTCATTACAGATTAATAATTCTATTATTCATTACCTTTTTTATTCGACTGTAACATCAAGTAAATAAGTATTCATCATGCATTTATTTAAATATCTTGAACAAATGTATTATTACATAAATATTTAATAGCAGACTGATCAAATTGTCAAAATGTTAATTTACAGATACTCTCTAAAAGGTTAATTAATTATATTATTTTCTATATTAATGAAAATTATGTAACTTTCCATATTAAATTATTATTGTTATTTATATCATATTAAAATTCATATTTTTTATATCAAATAAAAATATTAATTTTTTTTTATAGATACCTAACACCTAATGTGAATTCCATTTCTAAAAATATTAAATCAAGGTCTTATGTTTGCAATACATAAAAATAGAAATTAATTGTGCCAATCTTATAGAACAGTGTACATACTACATAGTCGTCCAACCTGTGGATCCAAGTCTTAAAGCATTGGACAATTTTATTACATTGCATTAAAGTCCTATTTTATTCTTAAATCTAATAATAAAAATATCTTAAAACATGTTAGTGCTACATTTGTTAAGAATCAACCACGTGTTATGCAACAAAAATTAGAAATCTTAATCAACTCAAAATCGTATTTTTGGCATTAACCATATTATTGATTACCACTCCTTATTTTTATTTTTTATTTTGTGGATTGTTATGAAAGGTAAAATAACTTATGTTATTTAGTATATTTTAAAGCTATTCAAATGCAGCTCCAACAAAAATTAGAATTTACTTCTARTGATTAATTTTACATTAATTTATCTAGATTAACACAACGGATTAGAAAAATTAGTTGGCTTTCCAACCTTGATAAATAACTATTATTTTATCCAAATATAGATATTACATTTTTATACACCTTTTCTGAATTTTGAGCTTGATTTTWTGGAATCTCATGTCATTAAATGTTACTAATAAATAATTATATTTTCTATCTTCAGTACACATGTATAATTATGTATATACATGTATGATAACTTAAAATTCAACATACCTACTTCTGGAAATTTCAATATTTTTAGAKAATAACCTTAATCATAGTATTATGTACCTAAAGTTACATGTATAAACAAATTTTAAAGTAATGAATAAAATTAATGTATTCATTTATTTTTATTTAATATGCTAAAATAAAATTATCTTGACTATCTTTAGGAATTAAAATTTCAAAATTTGTGTTTGAGCCGTTCAAGATATCTGTCCTAGTAATAAAGGCATGGTAAAAACAGGAACTTAAAACGCAGCTTAGTAAGAAAATAGAAGTAAAAGTATTGAAAGAAAATTTCAAACATAATTAAAAAATATGATTAATTAGAATTWAAAATTGGTTAACAGGATAACTAAACAATTATACAATAAGTAATAATTATACCTAAAATCGTTTAGAACAGCAGTTCCCAAACTATACACTGCGACGCCCTGGTGTGCCATAGTGTCTTTACAGAGGTACCACATTGTCGTAGAATTTTATCATCCATTCCATTATTTGATATGTACAAATAAATATATACCTAAATATTGATGTTACTTATGTCTTACAAATTGTTCTGGTTTTTATTTTTTTATAGGGAGGGGCACATCGTGTAAACCCCTTATTTCAAAAAGGGCGCCGCAAACCAAAAAAGTATGGAAACCCTTGATTTAGGAYATAATATGATTATGTAGTAGTATTTGTAGCCATAAGAAATTTTAATTTTATTGTACTTGATCATAAGTTTTTATGGCATTTGGATGTTATTATCTACTATGAYATAATTATATTTGAAGCATTTTAAATTTAAATGTAAAATATTTGTTTTCACTTCATGCAAATATTATAATTATTGTATTAATAATAAACAATGTACTAATTTGTCGATATACATTGTTACATAATTRTCTAAAAAWTTTATTAAAATGTGTAATGWAAACAATGAAATAAACATACAACAAAATGTGCTCTTTGCCAGCACTGTCTGGTGGGACTTAGGAAATARGTCTATTAAAGAGCCATTTCATTATTAACATGAGTGCGCWATCAGTAATTATCATAATTTTATTGTTCTAATTATTATGATTTACAGCTGAAAAAAATTCAGACAAGAACTTATAGTAAGGTATAAGGTGATATGTTAAATTAGTTTTAACATTAATTTAATTATTATAACATTATATAAAAAATAAAAAACAAACAATTWAAAATAAAGTCCTAGTAACAATGATATAAAATATGTATATTCTATAAATGTAATTAAATATAATCAAAATTAACCAATGTTTTTCTTAAAATATTAGTTATTAGTTTCATAAAAATA